AAAAAAAAAAAAGATAGTATGTCAGGTTGGGGATTTTTGGACCATTTGGTAGTATGAAGTTTATATGTGAAATCCCTAACTCCATGATAACTTTTCCAAAGAGATCTTTTTTTTTTTTTTTAAACTCTGAATCCAGTTTAAGGCAAACAAGCTTCCTTGTTGTCTTCCTGTTTGCAGGTAGGAAAACTTTCAGTATGGTGTGGCTTTTTGACTGTGGCATTTTGCAGGTTCCTTAGTTACACCTTCCTGCCTTGTATGGCCCCAAGTCCTCAAATTTTGTCCTTGATAGGCATTAAACTCATGATTAACAAACCCCACAATACTGTTGCTCCAGTTTCACCTGCTACTGTGGTTTGTAATGCCTCACTCCTCCTCTTTTTTGATTTATACATTTTGTTTAAGCACAAGATACATATAGTAAAGTACATAGATCATAAATATACAGCTCAATATCTTTTCACAAGTGAACATACCTATGTAACAAATAACCCAGAAAAAGAAAAAGAACATTATTAGAAATCTTCTAGTACCCTTTCCAAACACTATCTCTTCCCAAAGAGCATCATTATTCTGATGTCTAACCTCATAGATTAATTTTGTCTATTTTTGAACTTTATATAAATGCAATCATACAGTATACACTCTTTTGTGTCTGCTTCCTTTGCTTACTAATATGTTTGCGAGGTTCACGAATGTTGTTTCATGTAGCTGTAGTTTGCTCATTCACATTGCTGTATATTATTCCATTGCATGAATATAACAGGATTTATATTGTAGGTGAACACTTGGGTTGTTTCTAGTTTTCCTCTTTGCCTTGGAGTCTGGGATTCCCTTTACTTTCTTTCAAGTTCTGCTGTGTATTTAGTACCAGTTTAAATAGCATTTCTCAGTCAGGAATTCAGTATGTTTTGTGTCAAGACAAATTTTAGGTTTTGTAGGTTGCTAAATCTCCAGACACGTAAGTCTTATGTTTTCATTTTTTATTTTTGAAATTCTTACTTGATTCTCATCTAATTTACTTTAGCTGATGACATATTTCTTTTGTCTGCCATTTGTAGAGATGGTTTTGATTCCTTTGAACCAATAATGAGATATGTAATTAATCTTGTAGTCATGACCTTTTGCCAGGATGGGATCCTGGATATGCAGGACTAGTTTGACATCAATATGCATAAGATATTGAAAAAAACATGTTAAAGAAATGGGGTGGTTGAAGATAAGCAATAGTAGGAAGTGTGGATATATTTCAATAAACAAGACATATTTCAATATCAACTACTTTTCAAGAAAATGATAACACCATAGTGGCCCATTCTTCTATGATTCTATCCAAATTCCAGCACTCTGTGATAACCAGCTCATACTGGCTTATTCAGATTCTTTTCAAAACTGTAACAATGGGTCTTGCAACAACCCACCGAATCCATTCAGAGTTTGAATGAAATCACTAGTATGTGACATTAGTGTGGTATTAGATATGTACAGCAATTTATTTATAGCCATAAAAAATAAACAAAACTTCCCTCTGATTTATGGCATTATTTTAATTTTACTGTTGGAAGGTTCAAGGCCACAGAGTAAATCAGCTGCCCAAAGAGCATTAGACAAAGAAAGATTGTGATGTTGTGCCTTGTAATTAGACTATAAGGTATTCTTTTCCTTTGTTGTTATATTTTGCAGCTTGAATTTAGGGCAAAGGTAAATTTCATTATTTCTCCCGTGGAAGCAATTATCTAGGTATGTCTCTTCTTTCTCCAGGCAGCACACACTGCTACCTTTTCTTCTGATTCATTTCCCCTAGAAAGCTGAGAAAGAGTTTTATAATGATATTATTGGTTTTGTAACTAGTGTTTCTATTGTAATGCTATTACTGAACCAATGTTGTGATAAATGGTCTGTTTATAAGGGGAATCACTTTTACAAGAAGTAGAAAATTAGACACGCTTCTGCTTTGCAATAACAATAAAAACCACAGTGAAAAAAAATTTTCCCCAGTTTATTCCCATCTGTATCAGCAGGGAAGCTTTAGAAGATGGCTTTCCCCCGAAGTCTTCTAAACACAATTACTGCCTACAAATACCATGTCAAAATGCAGTTTTCCTCCAGATCCTATTCAAGACCAACACATTTTTAGGCTTCCTATAACGTGGGCCCTTTAAGAAAGTCAGGCGCTTTAAACCCCACCCCCCTGGTGACTTGAAGGAGTCAGTCCGTCTTTCCCAGGTAGTTGGTGATAAAGCTGAGAGAGAGTCAACTTGCCCCCTTGCTCTGCCTGGAAGGAATGTTTCTGTTGCAATAAGCTCTAAAAGTGGAAGCTTTAAGATACTATGGGATAGGGAACAATAGAAACTTGTGAAGTATGGAAGCCAGACCCGCTCTAAGATTCTATCACGGTGCTGAATAAAGCGGAAAGAATGCTGTTAAATCTGAGTTTCTCCCTGTGGTGCTGCTCCCTGCTAGCTTTCCTCTGCCATTTCACCCAGCAAGTGAGTTTTCCAGAAGCCGTTTCTACTTTAACGAGCTGCTTGTCTCATGTACCAGATCCCCGAAAAGAAAAGTCAGGGAGATAAATAAGTTTCAATGAAAATTACACTGGATCACTTCTAACAATTCACATTGGCTATATGTTTCTGAAGAGCAAAGCCAATTCTTTTTTTTTTTTTTTGGTTTCTTGCCACACCAACAGTGATTAAGTTCATAAGTCCTTTAGCTCTAAAAAATAACTAGGAGAAATTTGGGGGTTAATTGCTGTTGGCATTTCTCAGCTGTTTGCTGGAAGCAGCCATCTTGGTAAAAGATGATGTCATTTGGAACACTTGGAATTTCAGTTTATTCCGAGATACCAGTTTCCATTAGCCACTGAATGACACTTTAATGACAGTTTAATCATTGGATCAAATTTAGGTTTAAAGATAACAGAGGAGTGGGAATAAAAATCATTAAATCCACCTCTTTATCCCTCCTGACACATTATAAACATTTCCAAAAGTTCAAAGCAATAGAAAATTTTCACACTTTTTTCTCTCCCTCTCCCTCCCTCCCCCCATTTTCTGTTTCCAAGTGTTTGTTCTTTCCTTGACTAAGCTCAGATAATAACTAGTCTGGTCAGTTTCACTTTCCAATTTTTATACATAAGTGAAAGCTGTTTTGTGTCAACAGTTTAAAGGTGTTTAGAATCATCTCACCTGCTGGGCGGATTTCCTGCAAGCTTTTCTTTGGGAGGGAAGGGGGTAATCAAAGTTTCGATTTCGAATTTCTTATACTTCAAAACTAGAACCCTGAATTAGATCACATTAGACTAATTAATGTTTTATTTTTAACCTATTAAAAGTTTTCTAGGAGTGGGCAAGATGGTCGTAAATAAGGGTGATGGTTACGCCGTATTCCCACTTAATCATCATTATTTGTATAGCATAATACGACGTCTGCAGTTACTTTGGAAAACTGGCACTTAAAGAGATGGGTTTTAATCCATTGAAAGTGTTTCTTTTTTTCTTCTTGGATTAGGTGAGTGTTAGTGTCTCAATCCCATTGCGTGACACATCCTGGCACTGTTCTCAAGATGCAAAGAGAAAAAGAAAAAGTTGCACCTTGTTTAAACAATTGAGCGCAGTATGGTTTATGAGATTATTAGGAGGAGGAGTAAAGAGAGCGGAGTGTCGCTTCCGCAAATTCTTTCTTAACTGGGTTAACCTGTGGCTGCTCCTGTTTCACCCCACTGGCTCCTGGAGGGGGAACTTTCTGTTCTCTTTGCGCTATCCTAGGCTTCCCGGTTAAGCTCACCGAGAAGATAAAACCGAAAGGGCTGCGTCTATGTTTGAAACAGACAGAGGGAGACAGGAGCACACGCAGTCGGCGGAAGATGGGGCCACGGTTCGGCCAGGGCTGGATGCGGGAGCCGGCGTGACCTTTCCACGTGTCCCCAGCACCTGCAAGGCTAGCGGGGCACTGGGTTTCCTTCTCCCGGGAGCCGGCGCGAGCCCGGAAGAGGCTGGGCGGCCGGGGGCTTAGGTCGGGGGGCCAGGAGGCCCTCCCTCGGAACACGTGCGGTCGGTGCGCAGCTGGTGCGGAGGCTGGCCTGGCCTTCCTGCACCGGCGAGTCCCTGGACCGCGGGCCGGCGCCGGGAGGCGGGCCGCGGCGGCGGCGGCGGGCGGGTCCCGGAGCTCTCGGCCAGCTTTGTAGGGCGGCCTAGCGAGCACGCCAGGCCCGGCTGGAGCGAGCCCCAGTGCAGTACTGCCCGAGCCCGGGCGGGGTCTCTGTTCTCTGGCAGAGGAGGTCCCTTGGCAGCGGGAAGCTCCCTCTCTTTCTCTCGCCGCCGCTCGGAGTCTGCGCCCTGCTGCCAGGCGCCCAGCTCGGCGCTCCTCTGTGCTCGCCCAGCGCCCACTCATTCGCAGCCCAGCCTTCGCCGCCGCTGCCGCCTCCCTGCTCCTCCTCCTCCTCCTTTCCCCAGCCCGCCGCGGCCATGGCGGACAGCGCCAGCGAGAGCGACACGGACGGGGCGGGGGGCAACAGCAGCAGCTCGGCCGCCATGCAGTCGTCCTGCTCATCGACCTCGGGTGGCGGCGGCGGCGGCAGCGGCGGGGGAGGTGGCGGTGGTGGGAAGTCGGGGGGCATTGTCATCTCGCCGTTCCGCTTGGAGGAGCTTACCAACCGCCTGGCCTCGCTGCAGCAGGAGAACAAGGTGCTGAAGATCGAGCTAGAGACCTACAAACTCAAGTGCAAGGCGCTGCAAGAGGAGAACCGCGACCTGCGCAAAGCCAGCGTGACCATCGTGAGTGCCCCCCGGGGTGCGCCGTGGCGCCGACCTCCGCCTGCCTCCGGGAGAGGCTGCACCTGGACCGGGCAGCCCCCGAACTCCCCGAGGCTCCGGGAACCCGTAGCAAACACACTCTCTGCCAAGAACTGCTGGCCCCCGGGGGGTGGGAGAGAGGGAGGTGTTCCTCCGGGGACACGCGAGTCTGGCCTCCCCTGAGGGTCAGGCTCCTCGCCGGGTGTGGGAGAAAGCTGCTGGACCATCACCCACGTTCCCTTTTAGCCTCTGGGGAGGAGGCCCCTCCCGGGCAGTGCTGGAGGCTGGTGGCGTGGCTTGGGGGGGGGCGGGGTGGGACTTTTTTCAGTCCTAGCATGCCTAAGGGGTGCGTCCAGAATCTGGGGATCCCTAGGCTGTGGGAGAGGGAGGAGCTCGGAGTCAGTTCCAGGGGCCTGACTTGGGGTACTGGGCGGGGTGCATAGCTGGGCTGGGCACTTCGCTGGCATCTGGACGGCGCTAGCTTGATCGCCCGGGGAGGGGGCGGGAGAGAGTGGCTGGGAATCCGGGAAGTGGAGTTTTCTGGCCAGGATTGAGAGGGAAGGGCGGGTACCGGAGCTGATGCTCCCACCTCCGTTGGAAGTCCTTTCCTTGGTTGGGGTTGGGGTTGGGGTGCGGGGTGGCAGCATACAGCCGGGCGAATGCAGCATCTTATACTAGCCTGGACAGAGCGAAGGGTATGAAGCTTGGACAGGCTCAAACCGTGGTGAAGGGTATCGACTGACTCCTTTTCCCTTGCCGACCGAGGTGTACGTGTGTTTGCTTCATTGGTGGTGGAGTGCCTAGGGGTATTTTGCCTCAGAGTCTAGAGTCTTGATGAGAGAATAGGCTGTCTGTTCTGTTTCCACCTAGCCCCGCGGGCTCCCCCGAAGACAGTAAGATTAGGTGTTGTAGTCTCCTTCCTAGTGTAGCAGGCGATTAGAAAGGCCACTCGAGCCGTGATGAGGCGAAACAACTGGCAAAAGTACACCGTGTGCTCTCACCTAATATCCCTGCCAGCTAGCCACATCATTAACATGCAGAATCCCCATACAGACAACTCTATTCAGATCAAAACAGTTTCCCAGCCAGGAGCAGAGAAGAAAATGTCAAGAAATCAAGGGGATAAATTACCATAGTTGCTGCACAATAGCTGATTAGACTGAACCTTCAGATGGAGAAAAAGGCATGAATTTGGGAATGGATCAAAGATGACAGTCTGGAAATGGGGGCAAGTTTAGGATGTCCCGGTGCCAGAAAAAGTCTTCAGTGGAGGAGTGAGTGTATATGTGTGAGTGGGTGTGTATGTTCCCCAGTGCTAGCTCATACATGGGACCTGGATGGCATTCTGAATTTGCTTAGGAAGCAGATTTCCACCAAAGATTCAGTGTAATTGGCAGCCTAAATAGAAATTGATTGTAGAAAGACACTTTGCATGCTCAAATCCAGCCCTGGTGAATGGAATTGGAGCAACATTCACGCCTTTCCAGACTGTCACGTTCTTGAAGTGCCCTTTCGGTAGGAAGGGGGAGGAATTTGCAGAGGCAGGCACTTCCAAGCCTCCTCTGTAGCTTTCTTGGCCCAGAGAGATGTCTCTGCTGAGTGGGGGTTTGAGAAGAGGGGGAAGTTGGTGGAAGCAGTTTATTTAAGGTTTGAGTTAGTAAATGAGAGAGTTAGTCTCTTGGAGAATGTGAACCACGGAAAGTAGTAAAACTTTATGAAACAGAATCCCTAGCCTCTTGCATACAGTGAGCAATTCAGGCTGTTTTTGTTTGTTTGGGAGAGGATTAGGGGGTGGAGGTACTCTGAAAGGGATCTGTTTGATACTTGACCATATTATAAGTAGGTCTGTAAATTGTACACAAACACGTTGGCTTTGCACGGACAGACATGTTCATTCCTGGTGTATAAGATCAGAGGCCTTCTGAACACTTGGTTTGAAGAGTGTGTAAGGTGGTGGCTTTATTTCTTAGCACTTACCCTCAGCTAAAACTGACATCCAACCAAATATACATTGTGAAATTACTGAGTGGAGTTACTGAGTGGGGACCTTACTGAGTAGAGTTTTAAAATTGTTTTAGATGACAGCCTACAAGTACCAAAAGCCGCTCAGTTCTTCTTTAATCTCTGATTCATATATTTAGGTAGACAAATAAAAATGCCTGTGGTTTACCTGGTTCCCTAGGACTTGGCAGGTGTTACTAAAGCAAACGCAGAGAAGAGATTCCTTTAAGCTTTTGAGAGTTTGGTTAACTGATCTGGGACCCAGATTGTGTTGAAGTGGTTTTGACCTCTCCGGTGTGTAATTTGGGAGGAGAAATGTATGTGACTACATGAAATGGATTTGTGGGTGTAAGGGGTCCATTGAACAACACCGTGTTGTAATTTATGTCAAGGTTAAGCTGCACAACCCATGACAACTCTAACTTAAACATAGCCCTTGTTAGTAGCTGCCTAGAAAGTTTGTGATAAGTCTTGTATTCAATTAAATGAAGGCCTTGCTAGATTTTTCACTATTTTAGTTAATTTGAAGGGAAAATGGCACCATAATCCTATTACTTACCTTCCTGCCTTTTATTATTTCCTCTACATATAATATTAACTTTCATGTTCTTGAGCATTAAAGATGATTATGGATGTCTTTCCTTACCCCTGAACATGTTCAGAAAGATACATTGCTCATTAGCCACACCATGGAGGAGAGGTACCCTCTCAATCTCTCTTTTTAAGCAGTTTATTTTTCAGAGCAGTTTTATGTTTGCGGCAAAATTGAAGGAAAGGTGCAGAGATTTCTCATATACTCCCTGTCTTCCCCGCCCCCCCCCCATTATCAACATTATCCTCCAGAGTGGTACATTTGTTACAACTGATGAGCCAACTTTGACACATCATAATCACCCAAGTCCATAGTTTACATTAGGGTTCACTCTTGCTGTTTGTACATTCTGTGGATTTACCATTATAGCATCATACAGAGTAGACCAAGTGCCTTAAAAATCCTCTATGCTCTGCCTTTTTATCCCTCCCTAACCTGGCAACCACTTATCTCTTTTACTGTCTTCATAGTTATCCATTAACCTACCGAAGGACTGGTTACTTCCAACTTTTGGCATTTTTGAATAGGGCTGCAACAAACATCTGTGTGCAGGGTTTTGTGTGGACAAAAGATTTCTGCTCCTTTGGGTAAACACCAAGAAGAGCAATTACTGGATTACATGGAAAGAGTATTTTTAATTTTGTTAAGAGACTGCCAGATTGTCTTTCCAAAGTGGCTGTACCGTTTTGCATTCCTGCCAGCAATGAATGAGAGTTCCTGTTGCTCCACATCTTTTGTCAGCATTTGGTGTTGTCAGTCTTTTGGATTTTGGCCATTCTGATAGGTGTGTAGTGATACCTCAGTGTTGTGCCCTCTTTTTTTTTTTTTTTTAAGATTATTTATTTTAGAGAGAGTGTGTAAGTGGGGGAGGGGTGGAGAGAGAATATCCTTAAGCAAACTCCCCACTGAGTGTGGAGCCCAATGCAGGGCTTGATCCCAGGACCCTGAGATTGTGATCTGAGCCGAAATCAAAAGTTGGCCACTTAACTGACTGTGCTTCCCGCCCCCCCCCCACCTCCGTGCCCTCTTTTAAAATCCAGTCCAAAGGCTAATAGAATTCTTAACCGTGGTCATTTCTGTCTGTTTTGGCATATAAGTGCTTATTTGGATCAAACTATCCATTTAATAAAGGACTGGTTTCATGGGTCTGTGTTCTCAGCATATGTATGATAGAGGTAAGCATTATCTACAGGGAAGAATCCTCTGTATGAGGCCTTTCATCCATGTGTCCAAGTGCCTGGAGCATCTGGGAGTTACAAGCTTGGCCCTAGTGTGTTTTACTTGGGGCTTAGGGGTGGAATGGAATGTTTTGAGTGATTATCCAATTTCTCCCAGTAAATCAGCAACCAGGATGCTGATTATAGATCATAATTTCTTCTTTGGAGTGGAGAAAATAAAAAACAAATGCTCAATAACTCTTTTGAGCAGCTTTTAGATCTAGCCTAACGGCTAGATCTATCAGCTTGTGTTGTGGGTAAAAATTAATTGGAGATGATCTGATTCATTGTAGTGAGAGGTGTCTAGGGGTGGTGGTCTCTGAGCAGATGAGAAAATGCATTAGTGGGCAGTCACTGGATGGCTTCACAGCTGTAGACTGGTTAGTTGCTGGGCTTCTCAGAGTATAAGCAGAGCTTCTCACCTGGCATGGCTAGTTCTCTAAGGTGTGTGCTTTTCCTAGACCAGTTCAGACCTTCAGCATGTGTCTGGTTTGAAAATAAAGGCCTGAAATAAGTCACTAGTAGTTAAGGATCTTTCTCTAACTATAAAATTAGTACTTTATTATAGACATTTAGGGAAATACATAAATAAAAGGCATTTTGAGGTTATAGTAGAAAAACAGGTTGGTACTGCATGATTAGAAAACCTGGCGATTTTAAACATCACCATTGTAATGGTCTCATTAACCAATAAAAGCCACCATATAGTAAATGTTGTGGATTTGGGATTATTTACTCTGGAAGCCTAATACACTATTTTCCATTTTTAAGACTTCATTTTGGCAGACTCTGAAGCTGTCAGATTGACATTGCCCTTGTAAAGAGGTGTGGTGTGTGTCATTTTTTTTTTTGTTAAATTTTTTTTCCCCTTAGATTCTTAATGGAAACACCCAACTTGAGACACATCTTGAGACAGAACTTTGAGAAATGTATGACCTCACGGTTAGGTCTAATTGTACACAAGTTCAGGCTTCTTAAAAAGGCTATAATGTTAGATTTCTTCTGCAGTTAAAGTTCTTCATGTTCATAGGTCCCCTCTGTGTGTTTCATATAATGTATTTGTATTTGATTAAAGAAACAAATCATTAGAGGAGATTATGTCAGTCTTTTGTGGTGTTCTCCTTATTTGTTTTGCTGGGGATGAGGAATAGTTCAGAGAATCACCAGTACCT